GGGTGGCGGCAGAGACACTTCCATTTTACCAGAGTGAGTTAGGCGAGACGGGACCTCAGCTTTCAGAGACGCAAAAATCCATGAAGTCCTCTTCCTTTCTGAGATTTGTCAATCAGAGCTCTGGGTTATCAGGATACTGAAGGGGAAACCCTGATACATGAGCCCAGGATTTGGGCGATTTTGTGGTTGCGGGGAGCATGTGACGATAACCACCCCGATAGATGCCATTGCCTGGCTCTCCCCGTTGACAACCGACTGAGCATTCTGAGCGCTGATGGAACTTTGCAAAGCTAAGATCTCTGGGTAATATTTGCCACCAACTGCCTGCAAACTTCCATGACCTTTACATGAAAGACTTTCAACTTGTGTCCCATTTCGGTTCTTCACTCCCTCATCAAGGTCTCAAGTTTTACAAATGCCAGACACCTGGCAGAAGGCTCTGGAGGTTTTCTGCTTTCTCTTTCAGAAATATTGCAACCCACAGATATTTATTTAATGCCCACTCTGCACCTTTATCCTCCCATTCCACTAATGCTAATATTTTAAATGGAGTTTTTATTTAGAGAATATGTATTATTTATGGCTGGATGAAGAACTAGGAGAACTAGGTTCATGTTTGATTCTGCTGCTAATTTAATTTCTGGAACCTCAGTTTCCTTGTAAGTGACATGCACTCATCCTCCCTCCCTGGGCTGTTGGAGGGGAACGGGTGAGACATGGCTACAGAAGTACTTTGAAAATGCACTTGTCCTGTTTTAAATAAATCTTTAAAAAGACATTAAGCGTTTATTTTTGTCATGTACCTAACATTGCAGTGGGTATATTTCTGAAAAGTCACGCTGCAAGTCTTTTTAAATTCAGCGTGTCCTATTTTATTTTTATTTTTTAATAAATTTATTTTATTTATTGATTTTTGGCTGTGTTGGGTCTTCGTTGCTGCATGTGGGCTTTCTCTAGTTGCGGTGATCGGCGGCTACTCTTCGTTGAGGTGCGCGGGCTTCTCATTGCGGTGGCTTTTCTTGTTGCGGAGCACGGGCTCTAGGCGCGTGGGCTTCAGTAGTTGTGGCTCGCTGGCTTAGTTGCTCTGCGGCATGTGGGATCTTCCCGGACCAGGGCTTGAACCCATGTCCCGTGCATTGGCAGGCAGATTCTTAACCACTGAGCCACCAGGGAAGCCCTTATTTTTATTTATTTATTTATTTATTTATGGCTGCGTTGGGTCTTCGTTGCTGCACACAGGCTTCAGTAGTTGTGGCACGTGGGCTCAGTAGTTGTGGCTTGCAGGCTCTAGAGCGCAGGCTCAGTAGTTGTGGCACATGGGCCTAGTTGCTCTACGGCATGTGGGATCTTTCTGGACCATGGATCAAACCCGTGTCCCCTGCATTGGCAGGTGGATTCTTAACCACTGTGCCACCAGGGAAGTCCCACCCTTGTCTTAAACTCTGGTGGCTGTGAGGATTCAACCAGAGTCCATGTTATGTGCCCTGAACAGGACCTGGCGTGTGGTAAGCACCTTAAAATTATGAGCAGTATGTTTCCAAAGCGTTTTGAGCAATAGAAGACAGTTGCCAATTGGGTAAGATTACCCAGACACATTTGCATTTCCAGACCATGGCTTCACAAATTTCTGAAGAGATCAGAGAACCACTTTGAGAATCTATGAAAGCTTTGGACCTTCCTCCTCCAGCAAGCTGTAAATTCATACATACACAATTCTGTATATGAATTCCGGGGGTTCATGAGCACCAAGGTGTCTTTCCATGAATTCCTAGAGGGAAGGCCTGACTTTTTTTAAGTTAATAGATGCACACAGCAACAAACAAACAAAAACCCCAAACAGTACAAAAGATTACATGGGGGATTCCCCCCTGGGATCCCAGTCCCTCATTTCTTCTTCTCAGAGGCAACGGCTGTTACTAGTTTGGGGATTCTTCCAGAGATTATAAAAAAATTTTTTAAAAAAATCTTTGTGCTCAACTTCATTAGTTATTAGGGAAATGAAAATCAAAACTACCATACAGAGAGACACCCCTGGGGGAAAAATATCTTCTAAAGAGATTTCTGAGAATGACTGGAAATTCCAATTAAAATGAGATAGATTTATCTTGACAAATATTGCAATACTAACAACATCTCTCTGAATGTGGGTACTACTAAGAGCATTCCGGTGACTTTATCATGTATGTTAAAAGTTAAACATTTGTCACCTGTTTTGTCATTTCTATCAGGTATTTAAAATAAATTTTATTAGGTATTAAAAAAAATCAAAACCACAATGAAATAACCACTCACACCTGCTTGGATGGCTGGACTAGAGAAGACGGACAAAAACAAGCGCTGGGGCTTCCCTGGTGGCGCAGTGGTTGAGAGTCCGCCTGCCGATGCAGGGGACACGGGTTCGTGCCCCGGTCCCGGAAGATCCCACACGCCGCAGAGCGGCTGGGCCCGTGAGCTATGGCCGCCGAGTCTGCGCGTCTGGAGCCTGTGCTCCGCAACGGGAGAGGCCACAACTCCCGTTGAGAGGAGGCCCGCGTACGAAAAAAACAAACAAAGAAACAAAAAACTAGCGCTGGCAAGGATGTAGAGAAATTGGAACCCTCTTAGATTGCTGGTGGGATTGTAAAATGGCCAGCCACTTTGGAAAAGTTGGAAAAGTTAAACATAGTTTCCATATGACCCAGCAATTCCACTCTAGGTATCTACCTAAGAGAAATGAAAACATATTCATACAAAAACTTACACACCAGTGTTTATAGCAGCAATATTCATAATAGCCAAAAGGTAGAAACAACCCAAACGTCCATCAAAAGATGAAAACAGAATGTCGTATATCCCTACAATGTACTATTATTCAGCCATAAAAAATGCAGTACTGATACATGCTACAACATGGGCAAACTTGAAAAGATAATGCTAAGTAAAAGAATCCAGTCATATATTGTGTGATTCCATTTTTGGAATGGAAATGTCCAGAACAGGCAAATCCATAGAGACAGAAATTAGATGTGTGTGTGTGTGTGTGTGTGTGTGTGTGTGTGTGTGTGTGTGTGTGTGTGGAGGGGGACTGGTTTGGGGGGGGAAGTGGTAATGATCACAAAATTTTAGGGTGATGAAAAGTTCTAAAATTAGATCATGGTGATGGTTGCACAACTCTAAATGTACTAAAAAAATCACAGAATTATAATCGTTGAACTTTATGATATGTAAATTATATCTCAATAAAGCAGTTAGAAACTCACAAATACAGAGTGGTTACTCTCAGGCATTTAAAAACATTTTATCTCGAGGCTCCACTCGTCTCTCATTTATTATTTTTCTGCTGTACACAGGGTATTTTCATTCAATCTGGAACCTGTGTTTCCTCACATCTTTCTTGGCCATTCTTCCTCAACAGTACTTTTGGAGCACTTCATTCTTTTTGCCCGGTATTCCACTGTATGGTCCTTCTGTAATTTACATAACTAGCTTCACTTGCTGGGTACTGAGATTCTTTCCATTCTTCCTGCTCCCAATGGTGCTGCCTTCCAAGGAGGTTTCACCAATACAGTGATGTATGGGAGTGCGTTTCCCCACATCCTCAACTACGAAGCATGTTATCACGCTATTTGATCTTTGGTAACCTAATGGGTGAAAACATAATTTTATTTGTATTCTAAATGACTGAAATGGACCCATTTTTTCATGTTAAAATGAAATTAACGAATTTCGTGATTTGTTTCGTTCATCAGTTCATTTCCTTTGCCCACTGAAATATCTTATTGCCAGAGTTTTTACATAGTAGGGACATCAGCCCTTTGCCACGTGTTCCAAATATTTTTCCAAGTTTGTACCTTGTTTTTAACTTTTATATTTCTTGCCAGAAGGATATCTTACATTTTTGTGTAGTCTTTTTTATTTTTTTCCCCCGTAGTTTCTAATTCCAATTCTGTCATTTTCTGTGCTTTGTCACTTGGTCTCTGTAAATGGAGTGATGATGCTGGTGTGGGTTCGATGAGCGTATCTGGATCTGAAGGCGTCCTGCTAAGGGGGACAGCGCTGAGTGGCAGGGAGCAGCCCTCGGGAACCCAGCTCCCCTTGTCCCCTACCCACACCAACAGCAGGCCTGAGGACCTGCGGCCCGGCCTTAGCTTCGCGCTCTTCGAGCCAACGTGAGTGGCTCCGCCCCGGCTAGCTTCCGACCAATGGACGAGCTTCTTAAGGCGTAGGGTCCCGCCTCCAGACCTCCTGGCCAAAAGGAAAGCTCCGTCTTGCTTGGAGTCCCGCCCCTTGCCGATTTGACCAATAGGCGCCCTCCCTTCAGCGAAGGTCCCGCCTCCTCCGCCCGCTCGGCTGCAGACCTCACTGCTCATTCCGGTAGGCGGGCGCAGCGGAGGCCGGTGTGGTCAGAACTCGGGCGGAGGCAAGGCCGGTGCCGCAGGACTGGGGCAGGCGGCGAGCGGGCGGCCAGGGCAGGGCGTCAGGCCGGTGCAGGCTGCGGGGCCGACGTCCGGGCCGCGGGAGCAGGAACGGAAGGCGGGGCGGGGCGGACCCGGGAGGAGGCGGACTGGGGCGCCACCGGCTTCTGAGGGGCGGCTCGCCCCCTTCCGGCCCGGGGCTGGTCGGCGGGGCCGCGGGGGCAGGGCGGGCTGCGTGCCGGGTCTGGCCCTGCTCTGCGGCCCGCCGCTCGGCGTTTCAGGCCTCCGGGCCGCGCGCTCGCCCAGGGACTGCGGGTCGGGCCTCCAGGTGTGGACCTAACAGCGCCCTGTAGCCTTCTTAAGCGCTGACATCTGCGAAGGGCTTTGTATTGTAAACTCAATCAGAGCGCGTCGTAGTCCCGGAAGCGCTTTGACATCCCCGAAGGAGCGCTGTGCAAACTGAAGCGCTTGGTAATCGCGGAAGCACGTTGTGGGCTCGGAAACCAAATCGAACGAAGCCTTTGGTAGATCCTGGGACCTTCTGGACTTCTCCGAAGCGCTTTGGAATCGCAGACATTCGAAGCGCTTTGACATCTCTGAAACCTTGAGCACTGTGATGGGCAGTGGAAAGAAGGGGGAAAGGTCAGTGAAGCCAGCCCCTGGCTCTGACCTACTGGCCTGCCCTCCCTCTGGGAGTCCCGGGATAGCGGGAGGCTGAGGAGGGGCAGCTATAGCAGGAGTGGTGGTGGATTCCCGGCCCACTTCACCTTGCAGGTGCCCATGGCGTCGGAGAGGCGCAAGGTCAAGTACCACTGGAGCAGCCCTTCGGAGCGGAGTTCCCGCAAGCGCAGCTGCCTCCGGGAGCCCAGTGATGTGGCCCCCTCCAGCCGGCCAGCTCACAGCTCTGTGTCGCGTTCAGGAGGGGCCAGCAGCCCCAAGCGCATGAAAACCCAGAAGGAGCATGGTGTGTCCTGGGGCTCATCCCGCCGCAGAAGTTCCTCCTCCTCCTCCCATTCCTCTGGCCCAGGTGTGGGTGGGGCCGCCTCCAAAGGAGGCCTGATTCAGAGCTCAGGAGAGTTCCTTTCGTCAGGGGGATCCCCTCTGTGCCCTGCCAGACCTTCTCTAGAAGAAATGGCTTCTCTCCAGGAGGAAGCCTGCAGCCTTAAGGTAAGTGGCCCCGACTCTTTGCAAACGGTGAAGCCCTTTCCACTTGGCTTGAGATGTTGGAGATGGGAATTTTGGTGAAAGGATACTAAAAAGAAAAGACCAGGTCTCTTAAGAACTCTGGGGTCTCCCCAGGAGAGAGCAAACTGGAAGACGTCAGAGGATGGCCTGAAGGTCGGTGAAGGGGTAGTTTGCAAACTTGGCAGCATTTTGGAACTACTTTAAAATCCTTGCGCCTTCCTGCCGCCCTGATGAGGTTATGCTGGGGTGTGGGCGGAGCTGCCAGTTATATATAAATATCCCACAGTCAGTCAGGACGGAGGCTCGCTGCACTGGGAGGTAGATGGCGTGCTCCGGAGACACAGATGTATGTTATTTCGGTTGTAAATTTAGGGAATTGTGCCCTGTACTTAGAAGCACAGAACCAAGAAAAAGAATTTGGTTCTTGGTGTGGCTTTTCACCAAGGTTATGGTTTCCAGCACGTTGGGGTTTTGCGTGGTGGGGCAGGGTTTATTTTGGAGGTTCAGCGTTTAGTTCCCTAGTGGGAACACACAGGAGGATTTCATAATACTGGGGGGCAGACTGAGGAGTGCTTCATGGAGGAGGTGCGGTTCATCCACTCATTTGTTTTATGTTAACTCTTATTTTTTAATTTTAAAAAATAAATTTATTTATTTATTTTTGGCTGCGTTGTGTCTTCCTTGTTGCGCGCGGGGTTTCTCTAGTTGCGGAAGCGAGGGCTACTCTTGGTTGTGGTGCACGTGCTTCTCATTGTGCTGGCTTCTCTTGTGGAGCTCGGGGCTCTGGGTGCGCGGGCTCAGTAGTTGTGGCTCACGGGCTTAGTTGCTCCGCGGCATGTGGGGTCTTCCCGGACCCGGGATTGAACCCATCTCCCTTGCATTGGCAGGCGGATTCTTAACCACTGCACCACCAGGGAAGCCCAATTTTATGTTAACTTTAAAAAAAAAAAAAAAAGATTAAGTTTTCTCGGCGCGTGCAAGTGTGTGTGTGTGTGTGTATGTGTGTGTGACAAAGTTGATCGTGAGTTTGGAAAGGTTCAGTCTCTTGCAGTCAGTCTGCTGCTTCCAGGTTAGAGGGGGGAGAGGCGCCCTAGTTTATGTTACTGGCTACTGTGTGAGCCTCATCCATCTCTTTAATCAGGTCTTGAACAAATATTTATCTAGGGCCTGGTTTGTGCCAGGCAGTGTTTGTAGTTGCCTGGGATATGCTTTCTAGGTTTTGGAGGTCTGGGCCTTCAGAGGTGGGAAGGAGTTCTGTGTGTGAAGGAACGGAGGAAAAGTCTTTCTTGGGTGAGATGGGCTGCCCCTAGATAAAGTTATCATAAAAAAAAACCCAAACGCAGCCGGAAGGAAAGTAGTTTGTCCTTAAGCCTTTGCTCAGTGGTTTCTTACGTGGAACTGAGAAGTGAGGCTGTATTTAGCTCTGTATCCTCTCTGGCAGGCTGTTGTTTTTAGGCGAAGTGCTCCAGGTGTTTTCAGTGTGGCCCTCACAGTCAGAACTCTTGTGGGCACACTGAGTTTTTTTTTGTTTTTTTTTTTTTTTTGCGGTTTGCGGGCCTCTCACTGTTGCGGCCTCTCCCGTTGCGGAGCACAGGCTCCGGACACGCAGGCTCAGCGGCCACGGCTCTTGGGCCCAGCCGCTCCGCAGCATGTGGCATCTTCCCGGACCGGGGCACGAACCCATGTCCCCTGCATCAGCAGGCGGACTCTCAACCACTGCGCCACCAGGGAAGCCCCACACGGAGGTTTTTAAAAAAATTTAATGGTGAGCTGAAAAGCTTTGTCTTTGACATAAGAATACTGAATATGACTCAAATGTAAATCAGGTAAATATGAGGCTAATGTGATCTTGTCATTAATTCTTGCAGCTTCAGTGGTTCTGGGTACAGGGTAAAACTGTCAGTTGATTAAAAGTAACGGCAGTAACAAGATGAGGAGGCACGGCGGAATCTAGCTTAGTGTCTCAGGTGTGCTGCATCCTCTGCTCAGTCCTGTGGGGCTGGAACTGGAGAGTTGAGGGTGTGGCCTCTTCCAGGGTGGTCCAATCCAATCACAGACGCACTTTTCTCTAATTTAGGGCTAATGGGCTTTGTTTTGCCCCAATTTAATGGTTAACCATGGAGCGTTGAGTAGTCTGGTCCTGTCTCAGAAGTCTTGGGTTCTGCCGATGCCCTGTGCTCAGTCATAAGCGCTTGAGTGAGGATTGTGTGCCGGGCATTCTGTTGGATGGTGGAGCCATGAGGCGGCTTGTAAGGAGCGTCCAGTCCGGAGGGAGGGCTGCAGAAGTCACAAGACTGCCTCACCAGGTGGTTTGGTGCAACAGAGATTCCAGAATGGAGGCTGGGGAGCTAGGTTAGGGGCAGCTTGCTGTACGGTGTTATGAGCCAAGGGAATTTAGATTTTATTCTAAGCCATTAGGGAGCTCTATACAGGGGGAAGGCAGATTTGCGCTTTTGGAAGATCACTCATGTTGGATAGAATATGAGGATGTTGATGGGATCGATCCCAGTTGTCCTACTCTAGTAGTGCTAAGGGCTCTCCTTAGAGAGTGTTTGTTAGTTTGAAAACAAGATACAGTACTTTACTCATATTTTTAAAAAAGTAACTAATTAATTAATTAAACATTCTTATCGGAGTATAATTGCTTTACAATGTTGTGTTAGTTCCTGCTGTATAACAAAGTGACTCAGCTATACGTATACAAATATCCCCATGTCACCTCCCTCCCTATACTCATCTTGATGAATTTGAAAATGCTTCTCTGACCTTCCCCTCTCTCAACACCTCTTCCCCCCCTCTTCTGCAGTCATTTGCACACTTGTTTATCTAATAAGTACGAAGTCCTGTCAGCAAGCACTGCTGAAGGGCATGCACAGAAACGGCCTGTTCTCCCCTTGGGTCCTCCCAAGGTCCCCTCACCGCTCGCCTACCTTCTCCCCACCCATCCGCCTGCTTTTCTGCATTTGCTCTGTAAACGTTGAGGGGTACACGCTTACCTTCATGTGTCCCCCTCAACGCAGAAGTCTCTGTGCTAGGTCATGGAATATTCTGAGGGGAAGATGTTTGTGTCAGTTCATTCTGGCTGCTGTAACAAAATGCCTCAGTCTGAGTAGCTTATAAACCACGGAAATGTATTTCTTATAATTCTAAAGGCTGGAAGTCTGAGATCAGGGTGCCAGTTTGGTCAGGTGAGGACTCTCTTCTGGGTCACAGTCTTCTCTTTGTGTCCTCACATGGGAGGAGGAGGCAAGGAAGCTGTCTTGGGGCCCCTTGACTAGGGCACTAATCCCATCGGTAAGGGCTCCACTTTGATGACCTAATCATTTCCCAAAGGACACACCTAATACCATCACCTTGGGGGTCAGATTTCAACTTAAGAGTTTTGTGGGGAACACCATAAAAGACCATAGCTAGACTGGGCATTTTGGAATCAATAGAGATTCCTTCTGGCCAGCCTCTCCTTGTTTGTGCCTTATTACCTCCAGGATAATTGCGAGGTTTTCTCAGATTCTAATGGTAGCTGATGATCTTTGTTTACTTTATAGAGAAGGTTAAATGTGTCTATCATGAACATCTTCACCTACCTTAATTTTAGTTTTTAGTATGACGTACCCAAATTTCTAATTCAGTTTGGGGAAGGAAGAGTGGAAGGGAAAATGTAAGCTTTATGCTGTGCTAGAGCTTGTCAGATACGAGTCTCAATATCTGACCTCTAGATGCGCACATAATCGTCAGTCTTGTGAGGTGGGCCTTGTTATCTTTTTTTTTTTGGAGAAGTAAAATCATGGTTATGCTAAACCCTTGAGATTTTAATCTTTTTTTTCTTGTTTGTTCATAGAAGTATAGTTGATGGCAGTGTTACCTTTACGTATTAGTTAACAAATACTTAGATATCAGCCAACACATATTTGAGCACCTGCTCTGTGTAGGCCCTGGGAAGATGAGACTCAGAAAAGTTAAATGACTTGACCAAGGCCACACAGCTTGTACGGGGCAGAGCTGTGGTATAATCTCAGATGAGTCTGACTTCAAAGCCAGTGTTCTTTCTGCTGCTGCCCTCTGTGAGCATGTGCTCCTCCTGACCCAGTGTTAGGTGTGAGGGGTGGGGAGATGGAGAGGGCAGGATCCTTCCCTTGAGGAACCCTCTGCAGGGTCACGCAGCCCAGACACGAGAGAGCGTTGTGCGTTTTGGCTCTTGAGGGATGAAGCTTTCACGGGTGGTCCTGTCTCCTGCATCTTTACTCAGTGGATGTCCAGTGCTTGGGTGCAAGGCTGTGCTGGGGCTGGAGGTGCAGAGAATAAGGCAGTTCATCACAGTGCAGTGTGTGGAGTCTTGTAACAGGGATATTTGAAGTACGGGGGGTCAGAGGACTGAGTGACTAACCATCGGGCAGGTCCTCACAGAAGAGGTGTCATTTGAGTTCTGTTGATGGCCAAGGCAGAAGAAAGGACACTTCAGGCAACAGGAACAACGTATGTCCAAAAGGTGTCAGGAAATGCTGGTGTGACGCTGGGGGCACTGCTTGTTCCTGGGGCCCTCCTTTCCCCCTTCTCCAGCGTTTGCCTCATTCCCAGAACACCTGGGTGTGTGGAGAAAGGTGGGAGGTGATGCTGGAAGGAAGGTTGGGGGCCAGCCTGGGGAGGAAGGCTTCCGGGGTCACACTCAGGAGTTTGGGATGTATCCTGCAGGCAGATGCAGAGCCGATGAAGGGTTTTAAGCAGAGGTGTGACGTTGCCAGATTGTAGAACTCCTTGTGGCACCTGTAGAGAAAGGATGGAGGGAGGGAGCAGGCTGGGAGCCCCTGAAATTGTTAACAGTGGCTGACAGTGCTGAGGGCTGGCATGACATCTCCAGTGGTGTCTCATTTGCCCAGTGCTTCATATAGGAAATCACCTTTAATAATGTGTCATTTTCCTTCCAGGTTGATTCCAAAGATAGTTCTCGTAACCCCATGGATTCTGAATTCGCAGCTGAAGCTGAGGTTCAAAATGACATAATTGAGGAACCAAACAAGGTCCAGAAAAGGCAGAGGGATAGACTTCGAGACCAAGGCTCTACCGTGATCTACCTAAAGGCCATCCAGGGCATCCTGGGAAAGTCGATGCCAAAAAGGAAGGGAGAGGCTGCCATGAAGGCAAAACCCAACACGGCAGAGCGCGCCAGCCGCGGAGAGGGGCCAGCCAGGAGTGTCACCACGTGTGCTCCTCAGAAAGAGAAAAAGCCTGCCCCAGAGGTCAGAGCGGAGGAGGAGGAGGCTGTGCCGGAGAAGAGCAGCTTCTGGGACAGGAGAGTGACAGACCCTCAGGAGAAGCCGAGCGAGGGGCCCCTGGGTGGCCGAAGGACGGTCATTGACAAGCGCTGTCCAGTCCTGGAGTTTTTGGATGACTCTGACTCGCACGTAAACGGCCAGAAAGTGAGTCAAGCTCATGCCAAGCATGGGGTTTTGAGTTCTGTTAAATGTATTTGGTCTTTTTAGTTTGATCCTGAGTGTTTCTCATTCAACACTGCACTTGACTTACCCAGGGCTCCAGGGAGCAAATCGTTGGTTCTCTTCTAACATAGCTCTCAGAGTTATTAAGAAGCCTCAATTCAGTGCTGTTTTTGTTTTAGGATTTATATGTTTGTTAAGACATAGATTTGCCTGTGTAACAAAGGCCAAAATAACAGTGGCTTAAAGAAAACCGAAGTTTGCTTTAAGGAGGATGGCTCCACAGTGTGGGGGACTGGGGCGTCTTCTCCTTGCTTCTCTGCTGCCCCTCAGCAGTTTCTATCTTGCGGTCTGAGCTACTGTGACGGGCTCAGCACATTACATTGACATTCCACTCAGGAGGAACAGGAGAAGAGCATAGTACATTCCCTCCCTTTTAAGAGTTGGGCTCAGAAGCGGTCCCCGTTCTGTCTGCTCATATCTGTTGACAAGAATCTAGAAACCTGGCCAACACCTGCAAGAGAGTCTGGAAGATTCCAGGCTAATTTCCATCTGGGAAGCTTTACATTCAGATGAGCTTTTATTGCTGTAGAGGAAGGAGAGAGCGATACTGAGTGATATTGGAGGGAAACTAACGGTTATTAACACTGCTTATAATTCGGAGGAGAAAAGCACTCCTCTGTTGTACGCATCTCCGCCCATCCTTCACTACTGCTGCTTGGAGGTAGCCCCTTTCGTCTCTTTTAACTCTCGCTTCTAGTACTTACCTCCATATTTCTAAGTAATCTTTCGTTGTTTATTTTTTGAAAATGTAGACATCTGTGGACTTCCTACTCAGGAAATGAGAATTTAGTTTTCTGCACATCTACGGTACCCGCGCCCGGAAATGTACCCTCTCTCCCTTGCTGCAGCTCCCTGTATCATAATACCATTTTTAGCCAAATCTATTTGATTTATTATCACCATATTCATAGCTGAGTTACTTAGTATACTCTGATTACATTTCCTTTCTTACAAAAGTTGATTTTCCTTGGAGTTCATCTTACCTTGTTTTTTCCTTTAGTTTCTCTGTTCCTGTGACTATGACTATTTCGTCTCCAAATTGCTAGTACCGTAAAATTCTTCTCATTGTTGTCAAAATAAGTAATCTTTTCTCCACCTTTTTTTTTTCAAGGTATAGCCCTTTTAATTGTTTCCTTAAGATTCCTTTTTTCCTCTGTCTCTTTTCTTTATGAATAAGTAAGGAGAGTGTATATAATGATAATATATACTCTTAAAATTTTTGACATACTTAATATCTAAGAACACTGGCTTAGTCTTCTGGGTATTCCTTTTTTAGAACATCCTGTTCTTGTTTTGAGGTTAAATACCTTCTCTTGTTTCTCTGAGAATATGAATAAAGGTTTGTTTTGAAGTTTTCTTTCTGCACTCCTGAGTTTCCTTCTGATTTTTTTTTTTCCTAAATATTTTGGTTTCCGTCTTTTGTGATAGGGCTTTCCTCAGATGTTTTGGGTATCTGTTCATATTTTAAAAATGAAGCATTAAAAAGCCAATTGGAAGTTCTCAGTGCCTGGAACGGCTTACTAACTGCTGCCTTGAACATAGGTGATAACCTGTGGACCCACAGTTGGATCTGTAGCTTTATCCTCAGAGGCTGCTAGGGGTCCGTGGGACAAATCTTCCAGTGCTCTGACCAGGAACACACCTCTGGCTGCTAGTGTTTTAGGGGTCAGATTGAGGGAGGTGCCTGGGTTCTCACCGTCCAGCGTGTGATGGTCTCTCACCCTCAGCTATGTGTCTCTTGTCCCTGGTTACTCCACAGTCTCCGTGGTTTAAGTTTTCCAAGGGTGAACCTTATCTTTTGCTGGGTGGGGAAGGGGCAGACCCATCTGTACCGGATGGGAGCAGGGATCTGGGGATCTAACTTCACAAGTTCTCTTAGTTTCATTTCCAGCTTCACCTTCATTTTGAGAGGTCTGGTACCTCCAATTCCTTAGTCTTCTGGGGTCCTGTAGTGTCATCCAGCGTGTTTTTGGGTTTTTCTCATTGCGGGCCTAGGTTTTGGCCATCTGCGATCTGCTTATCCAGTAACTGTTCATCTATCTGCTTCTAGCATCAAATTTTTATTTAATTTGCTTTGCTGTTTATTCTGTATGCTTTCTCTTTGTAGGTTTATGCTTTTTCAAGTCCATTTCCTGTAATTTTAAGAGTTTTTGGGCGGGGAGGACAAAACCCACGTGTGCTGTATTTAATTGGAAATCCCAAGAACAGTAGGTTTTGTAAACTACTTTTCCCACCAAATATACAATGTTTGTGTTTCCTGTCTAACATAGATCATTGTTTGGCTGCCTGGAATTCCATGGTATGGATGAACTTTCCAAACTTATATACCCAAACTTCTATTTGTCAAACTGGACATTTAGATTATCTGTTGGGTATGTATTTGGGGCAGCATGATATGGTAGGTCAACAGATGAGTGTTGGGATCAGACATTTGGGTTCAAATCCTGGCTCTGTCCCCCTAAACTGCAGTCTTGAGAAAGTCACTTAACCTGTTGGAGCCCCAGTTTCTTCCTCTGTATAAAAGGCATGGTTCTTTAAATGTTATCACAGACTCATACAGGGATCAGCAAACTCTGTAAGGGGCCAGATAGTAAATATTTTAGGCTTTTTGAGCTTTTAATCCCTCTGTTGCAACTATTAAACTGTGCTGTAGTAGCATGAAAGCAGCCATAGATAATATTTAAGTGAATGGGCCTGACTATATTCCAGTAAAACTTTATTTACACCAACAGGCAGTGCATTGGATTTGGCTTGTGGGTCACAGTTTGCTGAACCCCGAATTAATTCATGAAAATCCTTTGCTCAGTGCCTCGAGTATAGTAGACTCTCAATAAATGTAGATTTAAATTTTACCATACGGGCTTGAACCTTAGGCAGTCTTGAGTATAGGTAGTCTCCGGTTTTCCCAAAGAGGAAATGCAAAAACATTTTCCTGGCCAACTTGACTATCTGAAGCCTTTCAGGGTGTTAGGTGACGTCGTCATAAGTCTGTTTATCATATATATTTCTAGGTGGATGTGCATTTTTGAAGTCACTTTTTTCCCCACTCTGCCATTTTTCCTCCAGCCTCACATTTCATTAAATAATTTTGTTAAACCTTTTCACATGTTTCTGTGACATGGTCTTTGTTGTCACTGGAGTTACTTTTTGTGTTATGTAATATGATTTCCTGAACTTCCCTGATGATAAGAATGAAAGAATCTGACTCAGGAGGTCTGAGATAGGACTGGGGAATTGGTATTTTTTAACAGATACTCTCGGATGATAGAGAAGTTTGTGAAGCAGTCGGAGGACATCTCTACCCTTCCATCTGAGTTGGAATTTTAACTGTTATTATTTCTATTTAAACTTCTTATTATGGGATATTTAAAACATGTATGAAAATTACCCACATACCCATCACTCATCTTCAATAAGTATTAACTCACTGCCAATCTTGTTTTATCTCTGTATCCCTTTTCTCTCCACAAATTATTTTGAAGCAAATCCCACCTACCGTATCATTTCATCCATAAATATTTCAGTGTGTATCTCTAAAATTAGATACAGGATCTTTAGGGAGAAAAACAAGCATAACTGCAGTTCTTAGCTCTCCCTCTGCCCTCTCTCTCCTCCAATCCTTTTTTTTTTGTTGGCCACACCATGCGGGATTTGGGATATTAGTTCCCTGACCAGGGATCTAACCAATGCCTCCTGCAGTGGAAGCATGGAGTCTTAACCACTGGACCACCAGGGAAGTCCCTCCCCACAGTCCTTAATAGCATCAACTATCCAGTCAGTGATTAAATTTCCCTGTCTCATGATTGTTTCAGTTTTTTTGAAACAGGATGTAAGAGTCATGTGTATCAGTTTCTAATTGTGTTAAATCTCTTAGTCTCTGTAGATTCCTCCTCCTCTCCCCTCCCCAACCCGGCATTGTTATTTATTTGTTGTTAAAATAAATAAAAGGTGTCATTTGAGTTGCCGAATCTTACTGATGCAGTGTAGCACTTTTTGAGTCTGTGTTGGTCTGCCGGTGGAAATTCTATCCCATCTTGCAAATAGCTGTTCCCATTGCATTCAGTTTGTGTTGTGCAGTTTTTGGAGGTATATTTTTGGGAGCCCAACAGTGTAACTATGTCTAATTATTTTTTAGGTTACTTTTTTAGGAAATATATTTACATTGTTTAAAAATAAAAATGTTTTTAGTGAAAAATAGCTTTCTAGCTGGCCCTGTGTTGCCCTGCTCCTTCACCTGGATACCACTTTATACATATCTTAAGTGTTTTCCAGTGTAATTTTATGCATAACCACTTACCATACTGCTTTTTAAAAAGTTATCTTTTAAAAAAAGTAAAAACAATCTTGAAAAGCTTTGTTAAAAATGATGTCCAACACAGAACTGTGAGGTCATACCCGCAGGAATAATTATTAACTCTGTTACCTTTTTTTGCTTCCCATCTCCCCTTCTTTTTAAAAGAATGAGCTTAGAGAACCTCTTTAAACATCTCAAATTAGCTTGATTGAGATTTGTTTGGGGTCTCAAATTAGCTTGATTGAGATTTGTTTGGGGTCATTTTTCTTTTTCAAACAGAGGAGTACATCTTGTAATAGAAGAGACTTCGTGGGGACTTGAATATATAAAACAGACCTCTCAGAAAAGGGAGCATCATTTTGGGGAGAAACGCTTACCTTCCATGTGGGCGTTTTTTGTAATTTTAATCAGATTAACTTTTGTTTTTGGAAAAAATGGTGAATTATATTTTGAAGAGCTGGACTGCAAACATGTTAATTATGTGTTAGTGTATGCGATAGACGTTTTATTTGTTGACATGTGCTCACATGTGAACACGTCAGGCACTTGGTGCTGGCACCTGTGTGTGACTTCTCTAGCATGTGGTCGTGGGTACTCAGACATCATATGCTGGTTGGCCTCTCCCAGAGGAGCAAGCAGAGAGAGCCAGGGGAAGTAGCAAGGCTGCTCTGACGTAGCCCTGGAAGCTGCAGTGTCCCTTTTGGTTCCATCAGTTACAATACAGGTTAGCCCAGGTTCAAGGAGAGGGGTCACAAACCCCATCTTACAGTGGAGAGTAATATCAAAGAATTTGCAAACACATCTTGAAACTGCTACAACTGTGTGGTTGTGCATTTTGAATGTGTGAGAGACCTGTTGTTAAGGATGAGATGCTGGGTGCTTCTTTTCTTTAAAACCCCCAATATACTGTGTGTTCTGGAGAGCAGTGTTTCCCAAGAGGGGTCTTCAGAAAGGGAATGTAGGCACAGCTTCCCTTTCAGGGATGGCATATGAGACCATGGGCACAAGTTTATTCCCTGAAGCTGACAGGACTTGTTCCTAGTTGTAAGCTGGCTCACTTCCTGGGAATAATAAGGAAAACAGGTGACAGAGTGAGCAAAGGAGCCAATGCAAAGCCATCATCACGGCCAGAAAAGCAGCCAGGACTTCTGTTCTGGAGGTGACTGAGCACAGGAGGCTGTCTTCACATAGGACGAAGGCTAACCTGTTTCTTTTCTGCAGCCTAAAGACCGGGAGGTGGTGCTGGAGCGCACCTCTTCAGGAAGTGACTGGTCCGACGTGGACGAGATTGCCACAGTCAGATTCTCTCAGGAGGAGCCCGTATCCCTGAAACCCTCAGCGGTTCCAGAGCCTTCTCCCTTCCCCACGGATTACGTCATGTACCCGGCTCACTTGTACAGCAGTCCCTGGTGTGACTACGCCAGCTACTGGACCAGCGGTCCCAAGACCCCCGGCTACCACTCCGTGGGCAGTGGCGGCAGCGACACGGTGCAGGTGGAGAGGGGCGGCCGGGGCTCTTCCCCCCACTCAACGGTGAGCCCCCAGCACAACTCCAGAGAGCCCCAGGCCGCTGAGGAAGGCAGATCCCGGAAGTCGCGTTCATCTCGTTTCTCCAGAAGCTCGGAAGAGGAAGAGGTGAAGGAGAAAAGAACTTTCCGGGAGGACATGCCGCCACGTCCGTGTGGAGGGCCCGCATCTGGCTCCCTGCCCAGGAGCCGTCGGGAGCCCAGGTTGGAGGGTTTCATCGATACCCATTGTCACTTGGACATGCTCTATTCCAAGCTGTCGTTCAAAGGGAGCTTCACAAAGTTCAGGAAAATTTACAGCAGCTCCTTCCCTAAGGAGTTTCAGGGCTGCATCTCCGACTTCTGCGATCCTCGCACACTGACAGATGGCCTCTGGGAGGACCTGTTGAAAGAGGATCTGGTGTGGGGGGCCTTTGGCTGTCACCCCCATTTTGCACGTTACTACAATGAGAGTCAAGAAAGAAATCTTCTGCAGGCGTTAAGGCACCCCAAGGCCGTGGCATTTGGGGAGATGGGCTTGGATTACTCTCACAAGTGCACCACGCCTGTCCCGGAGCAGCACAAGGTAATGTCCTTAGTTTGCTGACAAACTGTTATTTATTTAGTTCCTCTTTTAGTTGTTGAAACACAAGGGTTGCTCTGCTTTTGGAACTAAAGAGTTTAGAGTCTCTAAAAATATGATTGCTCTTAGCCAGACCCTGTAGATGTCATTGGTCAAATGCTTCACAAACTATTTCTTACCTTTCAGCTTCATTAAGCAAGAGGAGGGGCCTAGGTGCTGAGTGACTTTTACAGCTAATGATACAGATGTCAAAACTTCCATTCCTTCTTGGGAAGCAACACGTTGTGTTTGTTTAATTAAACAGTATATTTTTATTCTAATTTTAAAGTTAGTGTGCCCATTTCAGAATATTTGAAAAATACACAAATGTGTGAAGATCATTTCCCATTCCATCAGAGATAGTGACCATTACCGTCATAAGACTTTTCCCTCCCAGCGGGCTGCATTTACTCTTGTGCTTCGCCTGGCTTCCCAGGGAGGACAGATGCTCCTACCCAGGCACAGTTCCTGTCCCCTAACAGTTCTTCCTTCTTAATGTTTTTGAAATTCAGATGTGTTTTGAAATTCTATTTTTTTTTTTTTTTTTTTTTTTTTTTTTTTGCGGTATGCGGGCCTCTCACTGTTGTGGCCTCTCCCGTCGCGGAGCACAGGCTCTGGGCGCGCAGGCTCAGCGGCCATGGCGCACGGACCCAGCCGCTCCGCGGCATGTGGGATCCTCCCGGACCGGGGCACGAACCCGCGTCCCCTGCGTTGGCGGGCGGACCCTCGACCACTGTGCCAACCAGGGAAGCCCGAAATTCATATTTTTAATGTTGCTGTCCCTTGGAGAATTGCAAGGGACAATTGGTGGTATGTCTTACAAGCACCTGTCATGGGATCAAGGAAATGTGTGTTGTATGCGTGTGCTTTTTAAAAAAGAATTTAGGAAAGTTAGAAAGTTACAGATTTGAATGTGTTTTCCACTGTGAAAATGTTCCTGCTTCATTGAACGTGCTTTGAAAAATAGGCTTTTTAACAGCTATGTTGTATTCCATCCCAAGGCTATAATAGTTTGAGTACTCAGTGGTTTGAGTATAATAGTACTGAGTGCTCAAAGAAGAATTTTTTAGAAGCAAAAATTAAATGTTGGAATCAGAATCCCTTGCAACCTCGTGCCTCTGGAGGAGTTCAAGGAGGGTTGATGCGTTGGGGAGTACCGCCGGCTGTAGGTACTGGAACTAGCTCATCTTTAAAGTCCTTGGCAAGCATTCTGTGCTGTTGGTTCCAAGGGTCACTTTGCTTTAGTTGAAAACACTGGTTAAAAGTGAGTTATATCAGAACTGGTATTGGCGCGGTGCCACTATTTTGAGAAGAGGCAGTGTAAGTGTTGGACTTGAAAATGTCATTCTCAAGTGAATACCACCTGACTCAAATTACCAAAAGCGTCTTCTTATTTGATGTTAAAAATTCAAACACGAATGATATTGCACAATTGAAAAAGCTACTCGTGAAAACAAAGTTTAAGTTGAGGTAATTTCTTTATAATGAATTAGTATTTTTGTTCTTTTTTTCTAAACCTGAACTTAGAATAAGAATAAGGAAAGAATAAGAGGAAAGAATAAGTTCTAGGCCTACTTTTTTCTTTAAAATTATTAGCAACAGGTATATTTTACTACTGAAGAATTTTAAAGTAGCTAGAGTTAAAAAAAAAAAAAAAAAAAAAGTAGTATATCTGTAGGTGTTCACCTAGAAGGAGATGTGATTTTGGTTAAGTAAAGGAAGCAAAGCTGCAGGAAATACATATAGTACTTATTCTTTCCACAAATACCTGAGCACCTTCTGAGAGCCAGGCGTTTTACTGACCGTATACATGGCAACTTTTTGCATAGGAAAAGGTGTGTAAGGCGATGGATTACCTCTTGGGAGTGGGAGTGGAGGCGGGGGCAGTGAAGGGGAGGACACTTGTAGTGGTGCTCTTGAGCCCAGCCCAGCCCTGCAGCCCCACGTGAGCATTGCCTAGTGGTGGCTGTGTGGACAGCCTGGGTTCAAATTTGCGTTGTGGTGCTACAGTTTACCAGCTGCAAGTTACTTGACCTCATTTGGAGGCTCAGTTTCTTTGACTGCATGATGGGCTAACAGCAGTACCTATCTTAGGGTGCTTGTGAGGATTACGTTATAATACACCTAAATAATAATACTACCTAGTAAGCACTCGGTAAGTGTTAGCTATTATTATGCATTATAGAGTTTAAACGTAAAGAAAATTGAAGAAGACAGTGGGGGTTGTGCAGTGGACCAGCTGTTCTGGGGGTAACAGACATCCAGAGTGGCCCTAACCCACAGGTGTTGCCACTCTGTCTCCTCCCAGGTGTTTGAGAGGCAGCTGCAGCTGGCCGTGTCTCTCAGGAAACCCTTGGTGATCCACTGCCGAGAAGCTGATGACGATCTGCTGAAAATCATGAAAAAATTTGTGCCTCCAGACTACAAGATTCACAGGTGAGAGTCTAGGACTTCAGCGGGCAAATGAAGTGAACATGTTCCTCTGTCTAGGACGTTCGTGGGAAAACGAATTCAGTGAGGGGTGGATTGATGATGTTACGTCTTTACATAGAATCTTTTCTCAAGATTAACTGTCAGGTTGACCCATGTGAAATTTCTGATATTTGACCTTCTTTTAACCTAAAAAACGGCAACTTCATATGGTTTGAGCTAATACCCTAAATCACTGTGACCCCCATTGCATGAAGCAGGCTGTAGTGGAGGCTCGGTTCGCAGAACTGAGAGCTGTTGATCTTGGGAGAGGCTGCTGTGGGTCCAGTGACTGAGCACACAGAGAACATTCCAGGGCACCTGAAAAGAAATTTTCTCTCCTACTTTGAATTTGAAAGCTCATCCCTCCCCACTTCCCCCACCCGCAGTTAAAGTCCAGGATGTATTTTCTCTAAATGGTATCTAGGGGTTCTCCAGTTTGGTAAACTCACCAGCCTGCCCTGGTGTGTCTGTCCTGGGCATGGGCTTGGCTTGGGGGGCCCTGGGGAGCAGTGGGAGACCGTCAGCTGGCGACTCTGCAGCGGGCATGGGGCTGAGGTGGGCACAGGGTGCCCTGGGAACCAGCGGAGGGGCCCTTAGCTGCGTCTGGCTACAAAGGGGTCAGGAGGTGATGCCCACTGGCACTTTCATGACGGGTAAGTTGGGTTAACTGGAAAAAGCAGGGAGTCTAGAACCCGAGCCAGGTGGTGCCAGGTGGCTGAAGGGGTGAGGTGGTTAGGCCTCTAGAGCATTGCCTTCCAGGCGCCCAGGCAGAGAGAGTGATGCCTCTGAGTGGAGCCACCACCAGAGATGAGATGAGGCACAGTCACTCAGCCCTTCTGGACTAATGTGTACTGTACTAAGAACATGAACAGATACCAGGTTAAGAGAAGAAAATTCACCTGTAGGCCACTCCCCAGTGTTTTTATTTTTTTGTTTCCTTCTGGTTCATTTGATTACACGGATGTAGTTTTTACGTACTGTAGGTGTGATCCAGATGGGCTGCAGTTTTTAATTCTGCTCCTGACTTGTGTTGGCTGTGAGTCCTTCCCTTGGATGCAGTCTTTCCATTTCTGAGAATTTACCCACCGAAAATAACTTAAAAGAGGTGAAATGTCCAGAGGGAGTTGGGGGCTTCTGCAGAGGGCATTATGAGAGAGCCCTGATCTGGGATTCTCTTCCTTGCAGGCATTGCTTCACCGGCAGCTACCCAGTCATTGAGCCCCTGTTGCGGTACTTTCCCAACATGTCCGTGGGCTTCACGGCAGTGCTGACCTACTCCTCTGCCTGGGAGGCCCGGGGGTCTCTGAAACAGATCCCGCTGGAGAGGATCATCGTGGAGACTGATGCTCCCTATTTCCTGCCTCGACAGGTAAGGGTGTCTTCAAGCTGAGTTGAGGCACTGAGGAGAGAGGGTGGGAGGTGTGCAGTCCCCCTTGCAAGGTTGGCAGGAACAGAGCCACAGTACCTTTCTAGGTCCCACCCTTGGCTGTGTAGATGTCTCCTCTCTGTTGCTTTGCAGAACCAAAGTCTAGGGGGCTGAGAAGCTGAAGGGTAACCACTCTCTTCCAGGCAGTGCAAAGCCCTACCCTGTAGAGGGTAGTCCAAGGAAGCGTGGGACCCTGCTCACCCAGAGCCCCCCTGACTGGGACTCTCCCTGCACCTGCAGGTAAAGGGGTCTCTACACAGCTCCAAAGAGGCCCTGCTGGGGAAGGGCCGGGGAGGGAGTTGTGCGTGACAACTCTGCACAGAAGGCACAACGGTATCCAGAATGCTTGGTGTCTTCCAGGTTCCCAAGAGCCTTTGCCAGTACGCCCACCCAGGCCTGGCCTTGCACACGGTTCGAGAGATTGCCAGGGTCAAAGACCTGCCGCTTGCCCGCACCTTGGCCACCCTGCGTGAGAACACCTGCCGCCTCTACAGTCTTTAAGCAGAGAGGGTGCCATCAGGAGTCTCCCAGAAAAGGTGATAAAAATCACATTACATAGTTTTTAAAAACCAGGACAAAAATGACTTTGGCTATATTTTTTAAATGTAGAGCACGTAGGGTGAGCAATGAACCTGGTCTGTCTTGAGTGAACTCAGGTTTAACCTTCATCCTTTTCTCTTCCCCGCCCTCCAGGATGACCAGCGGCCTGACAGGAGAAAGGCCATGTGAGCTCTGCCTGTGTGTCCCTGCTCGAGGATGTTTGAGAGCCCGCTGGGATGGAGGACACCCGGACAGGACGTTTCCTGAGACCTCGTCGGAGGCTTCCGCTTCAGGCTGGTTGGGGGTGGGGCCGGCGTGGGCGGGGCTGGCGAGGGCTCCGGGCTGGCCTCCCCGGCTGCAGTGCTCCAGGGCGGCCTGGGAAGAGGAGGAGGCTGATGTGAGGGCACAGCGAGCTTGCCCGCCCGGTGCCTGCCTCCGCAGCTTGTGGCGCGAGCAGTCTGTGAATAAAGTCACCCTGCTCCTCAGCTAAGTGCACGTAGGCATGTAGCTTGGTTCCTGGTTCTCCACTGTCAACACGAACCCCCGGTGGGAGATCTCCTCTGGGGGACATTTGCCAGAGACCTGTGTTAGAGGCTGATGCTCCTGCGGCCAGAGAAGGCAGCCCCTCCCTTCCCCCGGGTGACTCTTCAGTGTGGCTCTCACTGTTGCTGCGTCAGCTCCGAGTTGGCACTGGTGGAAGGACCTTGGCTGCTGGTCTCACTGGTTCCACTGCCATCAATATGGAGGGGCCAAAGGGGTGCTCATGGTCCAGGGAAAGTCCTGGCCGAGGAACATCTGGACAGACTGGGGGACTTGAGGAGGAGGAAGCCCGCTTGAGGAAGACGACCCCGAGGAAGGTGATCCCACTTACCGAGGCGCCCAGGGCTGCAGCTCAGTTGTGTTAAACTGACAGGGTCCAGTCTGCAGCAGATGCTGTCTGCTAGTCTGCTGTCAGGGGGTCCCAGCTGCCCTGTGCTCCACTCTGCCCCCTTCTCCTGGAGCACTGGACCAAAAATACTCCTTCTGTTTCATCTCATGTAACAGCCCCTTGTGTGCCCCATCCAGGTCGAGAGGTAAACCAATTTAATTTTCCAAAGCTCTGCTGGCACTGCCCAGCCCTGTTCTATTGCCTATGCAGAACAAGAGGCCTGGTGTCCATGGATCTCCCGTTCCCCGTCCTGGGGCTCTCCCTTGCCTTGGCCTCTGCTGCGTCCTTTCTCCGTGGTGAAAGTGAGAGCCACTCCTTGGACTTTGAACAGCCAGGTCATCTCAAGTTCTGAGCTGTGCTCTGCTCCCTGCTGGTGCCTTGTAAAGGTGTGTTCATTACAGGCCCTGGAAGGTTATGACGGTCAAGGGTTAAGAGTGAGGATGCTCTGCGTTTGGGACAAAAGGATCCTTTATTCCAATCTTCCTCAGTTCGACAGGCCACCCTGAGTCCCTTGTCTGTTTCTTGGAGGCCAATAGCTGAAATCGTAAGATCCAGTGCTTATGTTGGATGCCTCTAGGTGTTTGTGGAAGGTGCTTTTGAACCTCGTAACCTGCAAGGGAATGGACTTTGCCTTTCATATGCGGTATTTCCCTCGCCCCGGTACCCAAGTTGCTGGCCTGGGAAGTAGGCCTTAATTCACTGTCGACCTTCCATGGATCAGCTGTGCGTCACCTGTGCCGCAGATTTGGCAAATCCGGGGCCTTGTTCTCCTGCTTGGAAGATTTGGAGGGCTAAGTATTTCACAGTGCTTTGTTGTCACCCAATGAACTGTCCCTTATCCATCTCTTTCACAGCAAGGCCTGTACCTCACAACTGCCTCCGAAGGAAACCAACCGGGCCTGTGTTCAAGGACTAAGAGTGATAACTCAGTGGATGTCTCTGAGCCATTGCAGTCTCCCTGCCAAAGTAAAGCACAAGGTGCTATATACTTTTATCTCCAGGATTTAGGATTATCATTTCTGTTACACAGTGAAACATTACCTGTGTGGGAGTGAAAGCTGGTTGGCATTGTTTTTGATTGTTTTTGGATGGCTGACTTGATTGTTTTTGCTGTGTTGCCAGAATGCCTCTGTATCTCTGCCCTCTCGCTCCCTTTGACCATCTCTTAAAATAAAGTGATGGATCTTCAGCCAACTCCCATGGTCTCCATGTTCGTTTATATTTCTCAGAGTGTTAACGATGGTTTAGTTGTTGACTAGCTTTGTAACCTAAGAATCCAAAGGTCTGGAGACATTCACAAATGTACCTGTGCCTCAGCAAAATTCAACTGGAAAGGGCTTCCCTGGTGGCGCAGTGGTTAAGAATCCGCCTGCCAATGCAGGAGACACGGGTTTGAACCCTGGTCTGGGAAGATCCCACATGCCACAGAGCAACTAAGCGTGTGCACCACAACTACTGAAGGCTTTGCTCTATAGAGCCTGCAAGCCACAACTGCTGAGCCCGTGTGCCACAACTACTGAAGTCCACGCGCCTAGAGCCCGTACTCTGCAACAAGAGAAGCCACCGCAGTGAGAAGCCTGTGCACCGTGACGAAGGGTAGCACCCACTCGCTGCAACTAGAGAAAGCCCGCGTGCAGCAACGAAGACCCAATGTGGCCAAAAATAAAAAATAATAAAAAAAAAAGATTTGCTAAAAAGAATTAAAATTCAACTGAAAAGAAGAATCCCTGGTACCTTCTTAAAAGTTCTGCCTTTGAGCATTAACTCTCATTTTACTGTCTGGAAACACCCAGATACACTGCTGCTTCTCAGCAGTGAAAAATACATAGACACCTTCTTTGTTCCAGTAGGAGGAAGAAAAATTGAGTACACGAGGGTGTTGTTGATGACTCGGTTGTACTCTGGGGCTTTGGACTGTGAACTCTGATGCCGCTGGGTAAACTTTGGAGGAAATTCTGTTTCACTGCTTGCAGTCAGGCTTCCAGTTTTGTCCTAAGGTATCCTTGAACACAAGTAAGTGCTCAAGCCCAAAGTAAACCCGTCAAAAGGGAGGCTCTGTTCTAAGAATGGTAAAGAAATTTGGAATCTGTTGATGCCTCATGTCAGATGCACAGTCGTTGGTTTGCGTATTTCCAGCACATTCCTCACTGTCTCAGCTCTGTCCCAGCTGGACATATGGCAGCTATGTCCACTGGACACAGTGATAGTCTCTTTGTGGCTGGAAATCTGCTCTTGGCCTTTCTGGTGTTTTACATCTCTCTGTATTAAGTTTGGGACCAATAGTAATCATTTGCCGCGAACACTTTCATTTTTGCCTCAGGCATTTCTGTAAGATCAGGGCAAAGGGCCACTGAAGTGTACGGTGCTTGAATAAAGCGTCCAGGATGGCAGCAGAGCTGTCAGTCAGTGGCCAGGCAGCCCTGTGCTCCCTGTAAATGCTCATTTGTCATCGGTGTTTGGAAGTGGATTCAGACTAAAGGAAGGTAGCCAAGCGTGGATCTCTATTCTTCTGTCTGTACACTGTTGTAAGAGAATTTCTTACCCCTCTGTAAGTGTGTAAGATGTTAAACACGGGCTTCCCTGGTGGCACAGTGGTTAAGAATCTGCCTGCCAATGCAGGGGACATGGGTTTGATCCCTGGCTTGGGAAGATCCCATGTGCCACGGAGCAACTAAGCCCGTGCTCCACAACTGATGAGCCTGCGAGCCACAACTACTGAGCCCGAGTGCCACAACCGCTGAAGCCTGTGTGCCTAGAGCCTGTACTCTGCAACAAGAGAAGCCACGACAATGAGAAGCCCTCGCACTGCAACGAAGAGTAGCCCCCGCTCGCCACAACTAGAGAAAGCCCACGCACAGCAACGAAGACCCAACACAGCCAAAAATTAAAACAAATAAATAAATTACTTAAAAAAAAGTTAAATACATGAGCTGTTATACTAATGTACTGGGTATATTATAAAATAAAGTTTTTTATAAGGAGGGTTTTTTTTTTCTGCGGCAAATATCTTGCTCAGCCCAGGGGTATATACATCTGCTTCAGAGAACCGGAAGTTAGTGGTGTCGGGAAGTGACACGTGCAGGAACAGGTCCGAGAAGGCCGACGTGGGACCAGGTTTGAAATGCTACGTTTCCTCAAGTGTGTTGCCTGTTTCCTGTGATCACTTTTATTTCTGCTGGTTGTTGACTTGAAATTGTCTTCAGCCCACTCCAAGTTGACCCCGTGTATTATGAAAGAAAATGAAAAACAGAAACAGAAGGAATCCCTAGGACCCCAAGCAGCAGGGCAAGAGGGTGACATTGGTAGAGAAGCAGCCGAACGTGGGGGAGTGGGGCCCTGAGCCCACAGCTCTCGGTGAGTCGGAAACGTGTTTGATATGTAACCTTGGGAAGTCACTAAATTCCTCTGAACTTCAGTTTTCCCCCTCTGAAGTGTGTCTGTTGTGAAAATTCACTGAAATTACATTAAGTTCACGTAAGAAGTATTTAGAACAGTGCTGGTGCACAGCAAGAATGCTTGTAAATGGTGGCTATCAGGATAATTGAATGTCTCCTATGTGCAGGTGTCCTCGTGGGACATACCGTGTTCAACCTTGATAGTGACCGGGGTGGGGTGGGTGTTTTACATGGGAGGAGCCTGAGAAGTTCAGTGTCGTGGGCTGGACCAGACAGCTGGTGTTCAGATTCAGGTGTGAGCGTGAAGGCCTCAGCTTTCCACCCCACCCTGCTGCCTGGGGCAGGTGAGAGAGCCTTACCAGAGTGGGTGCTTAACCTCTGTTTCTGGAGTGAATGACCTAGGCAAGTGGGAGAGAAGGCTTGTGTGTCCCTTGAGAAAGGAGTAAGGCCTTGTCTTTGTGGGTGAGCATCAGGTGACCAGCATTCCCCCCAGGGCCTGGCCCCCATCCTCCCTGGAGCCCCGTCTGGCTGCTTCTCCAGCAGGTTGGGAGCTGGTTTCTTGGGCCCTTTGACTGTGTTTGAGTCTTGGTGCCTCCGCTGGGTGCTGAGAAGAGGACGGTGGGCCTGGCTAGTGATGATCAGGGTTGCACCCCTACTAAGCTTTAGAGCTGGGATGTGCCTCAGCTCCAGGCCCGCGTGTGGGTCTCTGCATCAGAGCGAGTGGCTGGCTCATGGAGGTGGACTTCTGCTTCCTCTCTCCCTCCACCCAAGTAGTTCACCTGCTCTCCAATACCTTAGATTCCTCTAGTGGGGATAATGCCTTTCAAAGTGTGATTACCACTTAGAGGCAGATGCTTTCAGAAGCAAGGGCTCGGTGAGCTACGCCACTGCGCGGACAGGTAGTCAGGTGTGTGGTTCCCTGAGAGATGGAAGAGTGTGTGTGTGTGTGTTGTGTGCCCAATGCATGGGCATGGAGTTGACAGCAGAGCTGGGGCTTAGAGAGTTGGGCGGGGAGATAAGTGAAAGAGGGAACAGGACAGCTTTTTCATGCGTTCTCAGTTTTGTTGAGGGCACTCTGGCCAAGTCTGCATTTTCCTAAGTTATGTAAGAGTCCACACCTGCTCTAAGCCAGGTGGGCCGACCTGGCTCTGCTGCCTGAATAGGACCCCGTGGCCTCTAAGCCACTTTATATATGAGCCTGGGGGTCTTGTTAAAATGCAGATCCTGATCTACTAGGGTGGGGGCGGGGCCTGAGACTCTGCATTTCTAAGAGGGTCTCTGATCATGTGACATTCCATGGACCATGTGTGGCTCCTCACACATGGTGTGAGGCATGGTGGTGGGGTTTCGGGGTGCCCACTTAGTGTGATCAGTGGTTAGTGCTGTAGGGCTGTGCCTTGAGTGCCAGATGGCCAGAATTTCACTCGAGAAGATACTTGGCTCCTAGAGGGAGCCCTTTGTGACAGAGGTTTCTCCAGAATATGGATGTTACCCCAGCTTCGCAGAGGGGCATCCTGCATGTTTCCGACGGGTGCGCACCTGTCGGGATGGGCGGTGCTCCTCCCCTTGGATCACGCATCCATCGTCACTAGCTCTCAAGTCAGTTCACGTGTTTATACCAGAGAGCAAGTGACTGATAAGTGACATTGTTCCCAGGAAGACTGGGTCTTCACTGGAATTCAGTTGTGGAATTTAAGGACCAAGGCTCACTTCAGCTGTGAGCTGGAGCTGGAAGTGTTTTTGGACATCAACCTGGTGTCCCAGATCAATGAAGGAACCAAGGTAATGGCCAGCCTTGGCCACATGAGGTGGCGTCTGCTGTGCCAGGTCTTTTCAGTGGACGAGGAGGAAGGAGGAGGAGTTAGGTCAGCTGTATCCAGCAGTGGCTCTAGCCATTGTTAGCGGCCCACTCAGTCTGACTTCAAACTCAGGCTCTCACATTCCCAGCATCCTTTTCTGCCCACGGATGTCGGTGCAACGGCTGTTGGCTCTGACAGTGTCACCTGGCCTTGCTGGTCGTTAATAAGCTCTCTGTGCAGCTTTGCATCGGGAAGCTCTGATATTTAAAGGAACTTGGTCTTCTCCTGTTTCTGCTCTGTCTCGCCCCTCCTTGCCCCTTTCTTTCCACCTCCTCTCCCCCACCTCCATTCCCCCAGTAGCCTAATCTGCTTGTAGAAGTGGGTCTAATTTGGCTTTCTAAGCCTTGACACCTCGTTGCTACATGTTCTTTTCTCTTCCCTTTGACCATAGACCAGGAATGGGGCAGGGGGTGTTTTTCAGTGAAATGTGAAATTTTCCTCTTTCCTGAAATAAACATTTTGAAACTTCACCATCCAGTTTGAGCATTTATTCACCTCCTAGGCTGGTACCCCTCAGAGCTGGGGCTGGTCTCGGAAGCGTTCTGGAAGCCAGGTGAATGCTTCTGAGGGTGGGAAAATGGAGAGGTGGCTGGACTCAGGGCCGGTCACTTGTTGGCTGGCGTTTCTGAAAAGCAAGAGGTCAAGTCAAAGTGCTGTGTCTGGGACTTCCTTGGGGGTCCAGTGGTTAAGACTCCGTGCTTCCACTGCGGGGGGGCCCGGGTTCGATCCCTGGTTAGGGAACTAAGATCCCACATACAGCCAAAAAAAAAAAAAAAAAAAAACCCCCAAAAAAATATTAATAATAGTAGGGGACTTTAACACCCCACTTACACCAATGGACAGATCGTCCACCAAAAACACAAAAAAAAAAAAAAAAAAAAAAACCACCAAAAAAATAGTGCTGTGTCCGCCATTCTGCCAGTACTGTCAAAGTTGGTTTTTCTTCCACAAGGTGACGGAGGTGGTGTGTTGTAATGGGGGGAGCGCTGGCCTCAGAATATGGACCATGTGATTTGGGCACATCCCCTAAAAGCTGGGGGCCCTGGAACCAATCCCCCGCAGGTACTGAGGGTTGACTGTGTTTGGGAAAGAGGAATTAGAAGCTCTTTTGAGAGGTGGGGATGGGGAAGAAAACTTCTGTTTTGTCACCCATAGGCGGACTCACATTGGGACTCCGAGGAAACTGGAGAAAGGACTTGCCGCTGGCGTCTTCCCAAAGGACGTCCTGAAGAAACTTCCCCAGGGTCTGGCCGTGCTGGTGGGACTGAGCCCCTGACAGCTTGATCCCAACGTCAAAGGGGGCGCTGAACTAGGAGGACCCAGGAATTGTCAGAGGTCACACCCTCCCGTGCCTGCCCTGACCCCCTGCCCCCATCCCAGTGGAGGCCCTGGGCTCTCAGCAGGCCCCACTGAGGGGACAACTCAGCCAGGTTACCCTCCTGCCCAGGCCTAGTCTTACCGTCCGCACCATCTTTAGGAGGCTTACCTTGTACCCTCTTTTCTTACCTCTGAGAAGGTTGTTGATAAAAGCTGTGAAGTCCCCTAGATCAAGGTTCCCTGCTCCTTGCAGCTTAGGAAGACATAAGGTTGAATGGCCAGTGGTAGAGCTTCAGGCCCTGGCAGGGTGATTTGGGGAGCAGGGTTCTCCCTGGTGTACATAGCACTAGCCTGGGGGACGGTCTCTGCCTGCCACCTTCCTCCATTCCCAGGTGGTCTTCCTCTCATTTGCACAGGCCTCTCCTTGTTCTGTGGGAAGTTGGACAGGAAGCTGACCTTTCCCTAGAACGATGCTCTGAGCCAAGTTTGTTCTTCTTTCTGTGCCTCCGTCTCGTCCCTTCTACAGGGAGAGCACCCCATTTCCCCTACTTTCTCGGCAGCCTATGAGATGATTTACTGGAGCTCAGTTTTGGGTGAATAGGAAAGAGCTCTGTTTTCGGCCACATCATCGTTTCTCACCTGGGGAGCGGAGACTATCTTTAGCTCCCTTCACCCAGTAACTGCCTGCGTGCCTGGCCCTGTTGGTCACTGAGATTCTGGATGAGTTGACGCAGGGATCTTGGGTCTGAAAGGGAGCCCTCGGTCCTTGGTCCTCCTGCCTCCTTGCACTCCAGACAGGACACGTCAGCCGCATTTTTCAGATGAAGGAGCTGAGGCCCCGACTTGCCTGGGGCCGCAGAGGGAGGTGGAGGCAAGGGCCAGACTGCAGGCCCGAGTCCACCAGCCCTGGAGCCTCTTTGAGCCCCAGAGCCGCTGCCCTGCCCTGCGTGCAGCCCTTGCCCTGGTCAGGCCCAGGCTGAGCCCCTTTCCCTCCGGGCAGGAGCCACTGTTGCTCCCATTTCACAGATGAGCAGAGATGCTCAGAGATGCTCAGAGATGTTATTAAAACAACAGATATCTGTTGGTCCCCTTTTTAAAATTTACCTCCCCCTCTTGTCTCCACCGTGAAGGTAGAGCGAGTGGAGATGATATGAGTGATTTTGGGGGAACTGAGGCCCCTCTGTTCCCTCCCTTCAGTAAATACTCATTTTCCCTCCACCCCTGTGGCTGATGCGGGTGGTTCGATGACCCCAGCCGACTTTGCAGCACCACGAGCACCAAGCTGGGGACCTGCTGGGCTGGTTTGCACCATGGAACCGGCGACGGGCAACTGACGGGAGGCGCAGCAGCTGTTGGATAGGGGTGCGGCTTTGAGCGACTTGAAAAGGTGCCTTAGTGTCTCATGTGGTCAGTGGGGGATGGGTGGAACTTGGCCTCGAAAGCTTCCAGCTCTGAAACTTGATTGATTTCAGGAAAACTTTTGGAGGGGGTGTAGGGGCCTGGGATGAGTGAGGTGGGACCCCGGCCCTGGAGGGGTTCGGTGGGCACAGCCAGAGCTCTGCGGCCTGTGTCACAGCCCTCCCACCTGCCTCTGGCGTCTCGCCACCTGCGACGTTTCAGACTCCTGGTTCTAGCGGAGGCAGGACCTGCCGTTTGCTCTGTGGAAACTGGAAACGTCCAGTGAGTCATCAGCCACTGGAACCTCTTCCCCGCCTGGGCTGACTTAGGGCGTCTCTGGCCCCACTGGACCTGGCAGTCTCACCGGGAAAGTTCCCTGGTTTTAGGCTAAGGATTTGCAGGCTGATGAGTGGGAACGTGGCAGGTGGGGTCTCACACGTGGTAGAGGAGGTGCCGGGCGAGGGTCAGAGGGCGAGGGTCAGAGGGCGAGGGTCGGGGATTTGACCCCTCAGGGGAGGAGGGGCTGCGGGTAGGTGGAGGGAGGCTGAGGCTGGGCAGAGGAGACTTCCTCGGCCACCTGCTCGCTCTTTGCCAGACCAGTGATGTGGACACAGGGCTTGGGGACTGGAGTCCCCCAGACTGTGTGTCCCACCTCTTCCCCAGGCAGGGCTGTGGCCCCTCAGCCCAGTGAGCTCCCTCGGCTGAACCTCGGTTCCTCATCTCTAAATGAGGGCACAGAAACCAGCCCCACTGACCTCACAGGTGGTTGTAGAGGTAAATGCGAAGCAGGAGGGTAAAGCAGCCGGAAGGTGAGGCCGCAGTTACTAACAGCAGTTGCTAGGCACCACCCGGGGATTCTGGTTTTCCTGCGTGCAGGTATCTGTCCTCACCTAAACTCTTGTCAGAACCATTCCCCAGACCGCGGCTGCCCGACGGGTAACTGTAAAACGCCTTCACGCTTTCTCTCTCCTCGTCCTCCCTGCCCCGTGAACTATTCATCAAAGCTCAAGCAAGCCTGATGAGCCCCATCCTCGTCTACAGGTGGGGTTTGGTGAGAGCTGGGCTCTCCGCTCACCTGTCCAGGCTGCCACCCGGTAAGATTGGGTAAGGTAAGGTCCGAGGGGCCCCTGAGTCAATCAGAAAGTTTTCTGCAGGAAACGCCTCCAGTCTGTGACCATCTCTTCCTTCCTGAGTGTCTGTTTGCTGGCTCCGCTCTGAGATCACCTGGCATCTGCGGGCACCCCTTCCCCCTCTGCTTGAGGCTCATCCGAATACAGCAGAGTTGCTTAGATGTTTGCCTGTTGATCGGCAAGGCCGATCTCAACAGAGCCCAGTGGTGCAGAGTCCACTGTTCTTGTGCTATTTAATGTTCCTTGAGTGGCTGGTGAATGAGTCCCTGTGGATGGCCGCCACTCCACGCCCTCCCCCGCCCCATCCCCTCCACTGCTGAAAGCATAAAACTGCAGAGGGACCCACCTGGATTTCCAGCTCGTCCCCTGTGCCTTGCGCCTGACTTCTGACGTCTGTGTCAAGCCAGCCTTCCAGGGCCCGGGGCTTCGGTTTGGCTGACGGCTTCTTGGATTCCTTTCTCTGCTAGAAAGAGGAGGTGTTCTCCTTAGGGCCCTAAGCCCCCCTGTCCTTCCAGAAGCAGAGTGAGGTGTGGGCCCACGGTCAGACCCAGCGTCCTCCTTTGTGCTCTGGGAGAAGGCTGAAGCGCAGAGAGGGTGAGCCACCGCCCAGGTCACGCCGCTCGCGGCAGGGCTGCGTGGGGGGACGTCTCACCTGCACTTTCTGGTGTTCAGGGCTCAGGAAGCTGGAGCCCGCCATGGCCAAGTCCACCCAGAGCACACTGACGAGCAGCAGGCTGCAGACGGTCCCTGGGGAGGGCATGGCCTCGGCTGGCTGGGGGCAGATGGGCCTGGAGGAGAGAGCACCTCTGGGCAGCATGCGCCCCCCATTCCATCACCTCTTTTCCCCCCGCTTCCCTCCCCGCACCTCTGAGCCCAGTAGACAGGCTGAAGGGCTCTGACCCGGACCTGGGGCCACGATTGCTGAGCAGAGCGGCTCTTAGCGCCCTCTCTGGCCGCCTCCCCCAGGTAGGAGCGATGGAAGGATGTGTGTGCTCCTTTCCAAGAGTGTTCATCTGGGGGCAGAATGCTTGGCAGTGCGACTCCCCATGTCCTTTATCCCAGGCCCCGAGGACCTTGTGCCAGGTTTCTCGAGGATGTTTGAGGAAGCTGAACGGGCAAGGTCCCAGGAGACATGGGGGCCCTGGGGCGGCTCCCAAGCCCAGCTCTAAGCAACCAGGCTGCCCCAGGTCATGGGACCGCCCCGAGTTCAGATGGGCCTGTGGATGCCTGGCAGTGGAGGTGAATTAACCCATAAACAGACCCTCCCACACACAAGAGAGTCGCCGGAGTGCCTACCTGGGATTCCTGGTGGAGGTGGCGCCTGGTGGCTGTCTGGTCATTATATAGGCAGCCTGTGTTTGTTTTAAACCAGCAGCCCCACCTCAGGGCAGCCCAGCATCCGGGGGCTGACTGACATTCCTTGGGAACTAAAGGTGCGCACGTTGTCCTCGGGGTAGAAACCAACAGCGGTGGGCAAACGCCCTGAGAGATGGCTGGGTGGCCTGGGACAGCCACGTGAGGGGCCGTCTGCTGCTCCTGCCCGCAAGCGTGCCTGGCCCTGCTTTAGGTGGGAGGGGGGAGAGTGGCCCTGGGTCTGGTCTGGCTTTGCTGCTCTGCAGCCTTGGCTCACTGGCCCTCCTGCCACTCCCTTGCTTCCAGGGGAGCAGGGCACACACCATCTCCAACAGCGGCTGAACGCCAGTCCTTTTTTTTTTTTTTTTTTAAAATGTGTAGTATGATCCCATTTTATGGAAAAAATACAAGACAAAAATAACAGCAAATATAGACAGCCAACTATCTGGAAGGACATATGCTATTGAATGTTTTCTTCTTTGGAATTCTTTTTAGTGCTTGCGTTGAATATTCATTTGCTAATAAGAAACAAGCAAATAAAATAAAGTCTTACTCTTCTATAACTCTTGGTAGAATCACGTGCTCCACCTTGCAAAAAAATCAAACCTGAGTCTATAGACGCTGTAGTTTCAATTACCAACTCCCAGGAAATACAGGGGATGGACGAGTGTGTAAAGGGGACCCACAGGGATGCAATCGGCCCAGTACAAACTAAGGGCAACAATAAGGGGCAAGTGTCCAATCCTTTCCTCTGGGTGGTGGTGATGGCTCTGCTCAGCTTGCTCTTTCTTAATGTGCGGGCCTTTCTCCCCTCGCCCAGCCAGGTTCTCAGAGGGAGCAGAGTGCCCTGGGGGCAGGAGAGCCGGGACCTGGTGCTGCCACAGGCGACCACACACAGATTGGCCTTACGCAGATCACTGAGCGTCCCCCTGCTCACGGCTGCCTCTCAGAGGGGCTTGAGGATTAACTGAGGTGATGGGTGTGAAATCCTTTGTAACCTGTCAAGTACCATGCAGGTGACAACTGTCTTTTGTACCCTGGCCAGCCTTTGCCACGTCAGATGTTCGCGGACGAAGAGTGCATCAACCACGTGGGGGATTCCTTACGTGCCCGCAGCGGCTCATCCCACAGGATGCCCAGGTGGTGACTCCTAAGGGCTCGGTGAGTTGCCTGTGTAGACGTTCTAGCGTTTCAGAGGAGGAGCTCACTTCTGGCTGGGCTCGGGCTGGGAGGGTAGGAAGGGCTCCGTGATCCAGGCGGCGGAAGTGGAGCAGGGTTTCGAAGGGAGGGCACCGCTGCAGGCAGAGGGGCAGGAGCGGAGGGGAACAGCAGGCGTGGGTGCAGGCTGTTTGTGGCCCCAGTGAGAAGGCTGGGTGCTCGGAGGAGGGTGGCAATGGGGCGGGTTGTAAGAAAAGGCCTAGAAGGAGGTGCAGGGTTGGGATAAGCACAATTTGGAAGCTGGGGGCCCAAGGAGTTTGGGCTTGATCTGGAAGAGAGAGGCCACTGAAGGCTCTTGAGCAGAGGAGTGACAGGACACGACCTTAAACACCTGGGAGGCTGCACCCTTATCTCACGGGGAGAAAACCTGAATGCCACAGGGACCACACTTTCCCCAAAGCAACACAGCCCTCAGTGGCAGTGCCCGGACGCCTAGTCAGGCTCCTGAGCACGACGGGATGGGGCAGGGGAGCCAGCAGAACGCTGGTCATCCGATGACCGCCTGACTGAGATGGTCGTCAGGGGGCACTGGACCCTTGTGGAGACTCTAGGGACAGTGGGTGCCTGGGAGGGGCTGGACTGAGCCCCTCAGTAGAATGTGGGGACTGAGTACCTCCTGCTGGAAAACTTCTCACCACCAGTGCACTGGGTGGGGCGGGGGGTGGGGGCCGGAATCCTCCCGCAGTCCCAGCAGAGTGTAAGCGTGTCACCTGGAGGCCTTCGCCCTTGCGGGCTACCTGAGCTGATGCCTCTTGGCCTCGGAGCTCAGAAGGGCTGAAGGTGGAGCAGGTGGGGAGATGCTAGAGAAGGCCTGCAGCTTTTTCAGAGCGTGGCCCCCCCCCCCCCCCCCCCCCCTGCCGATGCAGGGCCCCCCCCTGCCCCCCCGCCCCCCCAAAACCCCAAACGGACTATGGTGACCAAGCCCCACTGAGATGTGAGGCCTCCTTCAGTCCGGGCCCTGGAGACAGGAACTGCCAGTGTTGATCTTAGATAACACCCCGCAGGCAAACACCCACGCGGGCTGCTGCGTTCCCTTCCGGAGCAGAAAGGTGGCCTGTGGGCTGGAAAGCACCCGAAGCACATCCCGCAGAGCGGAGGCTGGTTGGGGGAGGAAGGAAGGATGCCGGAGCCACTGAGGGATGGGGAGGCGGCACCCAGAAAGTACCTCGCTGCCCACCCCTGGCTGTGGACAGGGTGCGGGCTGGGGTGGGGATGCACGCAGACCTGAGCCCAGAGGCCTTTGAGGAGGACTGTGTGGCTCGGGGTGGGGAGGACCGACTTGCCCCAGCACGTGTTTCCCCTCGTTTGAGTGTGGATAATGCCAAGGCCGGTCTGTCCGTCTGTCTCCTTCTCTGAACCTTTCTCTGGATTGCTTGCTGGTTGGTGCTTTCCTTCCCACAGCAGGGCCTTGAGAGCCCGGCCTCATCCACAGGGAAGGGCGCATCATCACCGAATTAACTGCTGTGTGTCAGTGGTTCTGAGAACAAATCGTGTACACAGTCCACTGTCATTCTGTTTGTGCTGTTAAGTAGTTGGCTGAGCAAGGAGTTTTTTCATGAATTTGGCCAAACCTTGGTCTGAATGAGGCAGATTCTGGGGTGATAGAAACGGGTTTCATTTTTTGAGATAGGGCTCTTTGGCGGGGCTTATTTTTTTCTCCTTGTTCTGGCTTCCGTAACTTGTAGAACAGCATCGATCACTAGAAGTATCATGCCAGTCATGCAATTAAAAATTCCTTAGGAGTCCCATTAAAAACCACAAAAAGAAACAGATAAAATCAATTTTAATAATATACTGTAATATATTCAAAATACTATCAATTTGACGTGTAATCAGTGTTATAAGTGATTTAGATATTTGGCACTGGTTTTCTTTTTACTAAATTTTCAAAATCCACTGTGTATTGTATTTTCACAGCACATTTCAGTTCACACCAGCCGCATTTCCAGTGCTCAGCAGCTGCTTGTGGCTCACGGCTGCTGCACTGGACGAGCTCTAGATCATCATGGGTGTCACTCTTACAACTTCCACATCCTTAGCCCAGTGCTGTCTCATCCCTCCTGCTCCAAACACAGCCTCTCCCACTGGGGCTTCCCTGTTCTCCTGCCATCGTGGGGCTGCAGCCCCCAGTATTGGTCTCCTGTCTTCAGTCTTCCTCTCCAACGGCTTTTGCCCCCAGCATTAAAATATGCCCAGGTCTCTCTAACCCTGGAAAGGTCTATTGATGCCTTCATGCCCTCATGCTACCGTGTCCAGGCAGAATTTCCTGTCCTGTATCCTGTTCCTTATGGGTACTGGCCCCTCCACACTCTGTAGCTTGACTCCCCGCACCCCCTGCCAACCACTGTGCTGAAACTGTTCTCAGAGCTACAGGTAGCACAGTCTAGGGATGGCTAAGAGCCCTGGGATCTCAGGGTGAGGCCTGTAGGGTCATCTAATCTCAACCGCTGGCTGCAGGCTTGTGCTGGGCTGCAGTGGATGCCTAGGGGAAGCGGTAAGAAAGCAGTCTTTTTTATGTCTCGTCTTCGGATCCTGATCCAGTAAGTCTGCAGTGGGGCGTGGGAATCTGTATTTCTCAGATACTGAACAAGTATCTCAGGCACTTCCTTTCTGATTATAAAATAATGTTTCCAGCAGAAAATTGGGCCATATGTAAGATAAACTCTCTCTCCATGTATATTTGAACTTCTTATTCTGGAAAATTTCAACCTTAAAATGAAAGCAGAGAGAGTAATACAATGAGTCTCCACAAGCATTCATCATCAGTTTCAACATTTATTAACATCTTGCATCGTGTATTTATCCCCTATACTCTTTTTCCTTTGGGGGGAATATTCTAAAAGCAAATCTCAGCAATCATGTATTTTCAGCCTTAAAATCTTCAGTGTGCATCTTTAACAGATAAAACACACTCTCTTACTCTACAACAACCCCCTTACCTAAACCTGATTCTTTTTCTATTGTTCCTTTCTACATTTATTAGCATTTTTTCCTTCAGCAATTATTTTATCACCTTGATAATACAGTTTGTACAGGAAAGGCAAGAAAAATACATCATTTTTTTCCTACTTACTAATGTTCAAAATAAGGACAGTCTCTAGATCCATCCAGGTCTCTACAAATGACCCAATTTCATTCCTTTTTCTGGCTGAGTAATATTCCATTGTATATATGCACCACATCTTCTTTATCCATTCATCTGTCGATGGGC